GCCCTTAACTAGACTTCTTGTGGTATGAATGCTATGGACTGCTATATGACACTAATTGAGCCACTTCACCTCTCTGAGCACCCTCCCCACTCACCACCTTGTAGTGTAATCATAATGGGAAGGAGAAGACACCAGCTTGAGCATGGATGGTACCACACTGGACTCTCCCAGAGTCACAGCTCAGTCCACACCAAGGCTCATCCTTACAGGACACTGGGGCCTGGTCTTTGCACTAGGGTAGCTCTTGGCTGTTCGGAGCCTGAGTGACGTAATGAGGTTGGTGGAATGTTGTGTTGCATGCATGAGACATTGGGTTCAATCCCAAGTACTACATGAGAACAGAGTGGTGATGTGCACCTGCAATGCTAGTACTTGACAACTAGAAGAAGGACAGAGGCTCAGTTAAAGGTTATGCTTCCAGTTCCAGGCCAACCTGGGCCTCATGAGACCCTGTTTTTAAAAAGGGTGGCAGAGCCTGGCAGTGATGGTGCACATCTTTAATCCCAGCACTCGGGAGGCAGAGGCAGGTGGATCTCTGTAAGTTTGAGGCCAGCCTGGTCTAAAAAGCAAGTTCCAGGACAGGCTTCACAGAGAAACCCTGTCTCAAAAAAAAAAAAAGGATGGCAGGGTCTGAGGTATGACACACAAGGCCCAAGGTTTGCTTTCCAGCACCACTTAATTAATTAACTAACTAATTAATTTGAATAATTTGAAAGGTTCTTTAAAAAACATTTATTTTGATTCTACGTGGTTGTATGAGTGCTTGCATATACATCTGTGCACCACATTTATGCAGTACCTAAGAAGGCCACAAGAGGGTGATAGAGCCCCAAGAACTGGAGTTACAGATGTTGGGAGTCCAATCTGGCTTCTCTGCAAAAGCAGACTGTGCACTTAATCTTGGCCCATCTCTTCAGCCCTTAATTAAAAAAAAAAAAAAAGTTTAAAAAGAATTATATAAAAGTAACTGAGGAGGGGTGAGTGGGCTGCAAGACAGCTCAGCAAATAAAAGCAATTGCTGTGCATGTCTGATGCCCTGAATTTGGTCCCAGAACCCATGGTAGAAGGAGAGAACAAATTCCTGAAGATTGACCTCTTACCTCCATGTGCTGTGACACAGGCACACCTGTGCACATACATAGGCAAATACAAGTGAAGAAAAATTAGCAGATGGGGCTGGGAACTGTAGCTCAGTTAGTAGAGTATTTGCCTGGCATGATCAAAGCCCTGGGTTGATCTGCACTACTTCAGACCAGGAGTAGTCTGGAACACCTGTGGTACCAGCACTTGACAAGTTGAGGCAGGAAGATCAAAGGTTTAGATTTGTCCTCTTCTATACAACAAGTTTAAAGCTAGCCTGAACTGCATGAGACCCTGACTCAACATACTAACAAACAACAAAAAGGCCTGGCTCCCAAAGCCTCTCACTTGAGCTCTTGAGTCAGAGCTTGCTTCCTCTTGATGCTTACCCCAACAGTCTGAAAAATAGAAACCTCAATCCCCTTACTCTAGGGACTCAGATGGCCTCTGGGGTTTGGGGACAGAACCTTCCTAGCAGTGTGGCCCTGACATAACACTGCTATTTTTGAGTGCCTATATGGGGCAGGTGTTCCCTAGTGTGTCACTAAGAAAGTCTACACCTACCCAAGAGCACAGACCAAGGCACCAACTGGGTTCTTTTGACTTGGCCATGTTAGACCACAGATGTCCAACAGCTTTTGGGTGAGCAGCCAAGGGCTCTCTGGTGACAGAGGGTCTGATGTTGTTGGCTAGTGTTGGTCTAATGCTCATCTTGACACCAGTCCACCAGAAGCTGTCACACGCCGCACCCAGTCTTGACCTTGTCTGAGGGGCCTCGACTGTTTGGACAGAAAGCCCACAAGAGGATGACAGGCACGGGGTTTTCTGTGTCTTGTATCAAGCCTCCCAGTTCCTTTCCCTGTTTCTTTCCCCACTGCAGGACCCTGTCCACTGGGTCATTTCTAACTTCCAGAGAGCAGCAGGGCTTCTGGGTAGAGAGAAGCTGGATGGCTGGGTTACAGCCTCAATCATCTGTCCCTACCCTGGTCTTTAAGTGCTCACCCTTCTCCTCTGCCCTTGGGGTCATCCAGGTCCTCTGTCCCTTGCACTTGTTTCTTCTCCAGTGATGCACGTTAGAACATTCTGTTTGGATCTCTGGAATGGTGGTAGAAGCTGGGCACACAGAACCTAGTACTTGGAGAGTAAGGCCCTCCATGATCTTCGGGCAACCCTTCCAAGATCCCCATATGTACCAGCTTCCCACCCCTATTCTCACACTACTCTCTACCAGCAGTGTTTCTGCTGAAAAGTAGGGCTCGATCCCTCCTACCCCCCTGCACCTGGCAGGTGCAAGGTGCAGGAGCAACACCTGTGAGGCCTGGAGCAAAGAGTTCCACTGAGCTTCATGGAGCACAGAGAGCAGAGCATGATGGGAATGGGGATTCAGGGCAGCTGCAGTTAGTTTCTTTCCTAACTTCCAATTTCTAGAGTGGTCTCTTTCTTGCCTTAGGCTTCGCCTACTGAAAGCACGTGTGGCAGCACAGATGAAGATATGGCTAAGCAGCTGGCACTCTCTGGGAGTTCTTCCAGCCTGACATTGGCTGGTCAGCTGGGATATCTTCAGCATGGACTCACTACCTATCTTATCCAAGAGTGCCCCCCCATCCACCTTTTGGATCGCTCTCATCTGAGGCGGGCAGGGCTGGCTTGCTGCTTACCTATCTCTGTATTGTTGTTGTCCTCTTCCATAGGAATCCTGGACCCTCCTGCTCTTCCACACACTCCTCGGGGCCCTGGGCAGAGCTTGTTTTTCCTCAGGGACCCTGAAGGGCAGGGTTCTGTGTGCATTAGGGTAAAGGGGCTTGTGGGACAGGTGAGAGTCAGTGTGGCTCCAGGATCCCTTTGTTTATTTATTTATTTAAAAAGATTTTTAACACTATTTCTTTCTCTTTCTGTGTGCATTCATGCACAAAAGAGGACAATCTGAGGAACTCAGGTTCTCTCCCTCCACCGTGTTGATACCAGGGATTAAATTCAAGCCATCGAGATTGAGAGCAAGTGCCTCTAACCACTGAGAAATCTTGCCAGTCCTCTCTGTTGTTTATGTTAATAACCATTTTTCCGTTGTTGTTTTTCTAAGACAAGTTTTCTCCCTGTAGCTCTGGCTTTTCTGAGACTCACTCTGTAGATCAGACTGGCCTCGAACTCACAGACACCTCCCTGCATCTGCCTCCCTGAGTGATGGGATTAGAGGCATGTGCTGACACCACCTGGCTTATGTTTTCGGAAAGTTTTAATTTAGTTCATTTTATGTATTGAGTGTATTGCCTGCACGTATGCATGTACACAACATGGGCGCCTGGTGCCTGAGGATGTAAGCCACCCTATGGATGCTGGGAACCCAACCCCAGAGCCTCTGAAAGAGCGACAAGTATTCTTAACCCTTGAGCCCTTTGGGCCAGTCCCAAGTTTCTTTTTATTTTACTTTTAATGTATATGTGTCTGTGTTTGCGTGGGGTGGAGGGGTGGGCAGGAGAGGGGGACATGTTCCCTGGAGCTGGGTGGGTGGTTATGAGCCACCCAGCTGGAAGCAGGGACCAAACGTAGACCCTCTAAAGAACAGCAAGCACTCTTACCCGCTGAGCCATCTCTCCAGGCCCCTTCCTTTAGTTTTTGCTATGCACCTCTGGGTAGTCTTGAACTCACTATAAAATCCAGGCTGACCTAGATTGGCTGTTCTTGCCTCAACCTCCTCATTGCAGGATATACCTGCCTCGGAATCACACCAGGCCGCCGAACTGAACTTTTAGGCTGATTATCAGTCTTAATTTTAGTTGTTTAAATGGAGGCACCTGCGTTTTCACTGGGAGCCAGTTCTAGTTCTAGTTATCCAACAGCCAGAGGTGCTTCCTTGCAGTGCCCCTGCTCCCCACACCTCCCCGGTATCCCGCTCCCCATCCCACACCCGTGGTGGACTCTCAGGGGTCCCTCGGCCAGCCCCTCCCCCTCCCTGGGAACCTTGGAGGAGCAGCGTCCACTTCCTGCTGCTATTAAACCTTTAAAGGCAGAGGGTAAATAAAACCGTGCACTGAAAGGCAGTGACTCAGCCGCCCCCGCCGCCCCTGGCCCCTAGGTCGGTCCCCACATTCTCCAGGATAGCTTTGTTAGCCCCCCCCCGAGCTTTCTGCAAGTCGGGGTTGTAGGGTTGCAGCCCGAAGTGTGGCCAGGTTGGGGCACAGAAAGGGTCCAGGAAGGAGGCAGGCCTCACTGTTCACACGGCTGAGCATTGCGGTGTGCTGTTTCCCCCATCCCTTTCTTCACTGCCTAACCTAATAAAGGTCATTGTTCCATTTTACAGAAAGGAAAAGAAACTCAGTACTCCTTCGAGGCACAACTCCGGGGAGCAATATGGGTAATAAAGCCCGTTGGGGCAGGGCCACTTCCCAAGAAGGTCTAGTGGGTGGCCTTTGGATGTGTGCCCAAGCTGGGAGGAGACGGCTGCCGGGGCTGGGAAAGAACCCGTGGGTCCGTGACCCTCGCGAACCAGGAGCCTGGGTCTCTCAGTGCGTGGAATTCTGGGCGCTATGGTCCCGTCTAGGGGTCGGGGCGCTCCCTGGGTCTTTCCCGCCAGTGAGTCACAGAGAGCAGGGGCCGCTGCTGTGCATTCCTAGACAGGCGGGGCGGGCACTCAGCCGGGGTGGGGGCCATTCTAAAAGGCAGCTGGGACGCTGGGGCTGGAGGGAAGGCTCGGGGCGACCGTCAGAGAGGCGCCGAGCAGCCCCCCTGCCCCCTCCAGCCTCCGATAAGCGGCAGCCCCAGGCAGTGGGTAAGGGGCAGCCCGGGGCGGTCGGTGGGGGCCAGCTGCGAGAGCTTGCCTGGGCAGGAGAGTGCCCGGCTCCGGGGCGTGTCTGGGAGGTGGGGAGGAGTCCTTATAAGTTCCACGCCGGCGGCCGGCCTCAGAAAGAGAGAGCGCATTCGACACTTCGCCTCGCAATGGCTTCGAAACTCATGATGAACCCCGGAGAGATTCTTCTCGAAGGGGAGCTGGAAAAGCGAAGCGACAGCTTGTTCCAGCTCTGGAAGAAGAAGCGAGGAGTGCTCACCGACGACAGCCTGCGCCTCTTCTCCGGGACCAGCGAGCGCGCCAAGGAGCTGCGCTTCCACTCCATCCTAAAGGTAGACTGCGTGGAGCACACCCGCAAGTACGTGTACTTCACCATCGTCACCACCGACTTCAAGGAGATCGACTTCCGCTGTACCGGCGAGAGCTGCTGGAACGCGTCCATCACCCTGGCACTGATCGACTACCAGAACCGTCGGGCGTTGGAAGGCTTCCGCCGCCACCGTTTTCAGCGCACCGAGTCTGAAGCGCAGCAGCCGGAGTCCCAGGAGCAGCGCGCCCTAAGTCGGTGGTGAGTGCCGCGCTGTCCCAGTGAGGGGTATGGAGGTGTGTGTAAGCCGTCCTTTGGGGGAAAACTTCGATTTCAAAAGCTACTGGGGAGGATAGGGGAATCCTAGCTCTTTGAAGACGCTTTGGAGAGGAAACCTGGGATGTAAGGCAGTCTCTTGCCCCACTTGGAGACTTATAGGTTGCTCTAGGACAGCTCCTGACTCAGTCTTCTCTCCACAGAGACACATGGGACCAGTCGAGCCGGGAACCAACCCACGCGGCCGCGTCAAACAGGATCCCAGGAGCCCAGCAGATGCCCCGGGCGATGCCGCTGCTCTTCGCTGAAGATTTTCCCGTGCTTGCTGAGCCTCGCCCCGCTGTGCGGGTGCGCTAAGTTATTGGACTGTATTTATTTTGATGGTCATCAACTGTCAACCCACCGTTCCGTCTTAATATTTTTTTATACTGTGTTTTCATTCCAAATAAACATACCATTTCTCTTTTTTAAACTTGTGTGGTCCGTGTAGTTCCTGCTGCTGCGGGTGGTGGTGGTAATGTGTGTGTGTGTGTGTGTGTGTGTGTGTGTGTGTGTGTGTGTAAGGGCGGGAGTGAAAGGGTCTCCTGTCTAGTGTCATTCCCTTCCCACAACCCAGGAACCATTCAAACTGCCTTTGAATGAATTGTCACCTGCTAGTGGGGTTCACAGCCATCTCCAGGTCAGGAAGTACTCCGGGTGTGGCTTGGCTACCTTTTGCTCCTGGGTGTGGCTTGGGAAGGATAGGGCTGGTGACCATGCTTGCTCAGAGTTCACTCACTAACTGGCCTCTCCTGGACACCTGAGTAGTTGTTCTGTTCACTAGGGTGGCAGCCCTCATTGTCGCCTCCCACCCACATACCACCTGTCCAGCAGCTGATTCAAAGGACAGTTGATTGCTCCTTGACAAGCCCCCATCACAGAACCACAGTGACTTGAGAGTTCAGCTACCAGCCCTTCTGCCCGTATTAAGCATCAGGACTAGCACACTGTGTGCATCTTTTGTCACAAATGGGAGGTAGGCCTGACTGTCTTCAGGGATGCAGCAGTGGGACCCAGAGCTGTAGCATTGGTGTGAAGCCTGGGGCCTCACCAGACACCTGTCCTGCTTCTACTCCACTTCTTGAGGCTCTTGCCAGATGTCATCTCTGACTCCTCACCTGACTGTGTTCTCTGCAAGGGGCTAAAAAATCTGTCAGGTAGGCAGGCAGCCAGGTGGTAAGGCCTGAGATAGAGATGTATTGCTTCCCTGAAGGTTTTGCTGGAGGACAAGACCAAAAAGGCAGAGTGATACTGAGTCACTGCCCAAGCAGGGTACTATCCTCCCTGGGCCTCTCTGGCTGTGGGAAAGCCATGAAAATGGAGGTGCCACATGCCTCCCAGCTTGGCCTTGGAAGCCAGGACTGGCAGGGGCTCCCCTTTCTCCTTAGGAAGTCTTGGGTGCTAGAATTGTTTTTTCTTACAAGGAATTTCTCTCCTAAAGCAAATGGGGGAGGGCCTTTCCTAAGAGCAGAAGTGATCAGCAGGATCCCAGGATCCTTCTATCCCATTTGTTTGAGACCTCCTCCCACAGATCCTCAAATGGCCAAATGACCAAACTCAGGTCATGAGCCCCCTGTTCCTAGTAGTGTTTAAACAGATGGATGCTGTGTCTTGAGGTAGTAGGTGGAGTGTGCTCAGACTGTGGGATTCTGAGGTTTAAGGATTCTAAGGTTTATTTCTTGTTTGTTTTTTGTTTGGGAAATTTTTGTTTCTAGTCAAGAGTTTCTCTGTGTATCCCTGACTGTATTGGAATCCACTTTGTAGATCAGTGTGGCCTCGAACTCTGCCTGGTGGTATTAAAGGCATGCATCATTTTGCCTGGCTAAGATTCCCACCCAGCCCCTGCATGTATGTATGTGTGCCCAGAGCCCATGGAAGTAAAAAAAAAAAAAAAAAAAAAAAAAAAGAGCACCAGATCCCTTGGGATTAGAGTAATAGATGACCATTAGCCTTCATGTGGATGCTATGAATTGAACTGGGTCCTTGCAAGGGCAGTCAGTGCTCTTAAGTGCTGAGCCATCCCTTCAGCCCAGATTCTAAGTTTTAACAGCTTCTTTCAAAGAGCCCCACTGGAGTTGGCTGCTTGATCTCAGGAGGAGAACCTAGTTCCTGTCACAGGGGAGGTCTGTGGGGAGGTGGGCCAGACCAGTGTCCCTGGTGCAGTTCTTAAGCTGGGGAGGCTGGGTCATGTGTTTGGCTCCCAGCTATTCCCTCACAAGCCTCTTCCTCCTTCTTCTTGTAAAGAAAAGATCTCTGTGTGGACCTAGCTGGCCTGGAACTAGCTACTCTGTATATAGACTTGAACTCAGAGATCTGTCTGCCTCTGCCTCTGGAATTCAGGATTAAAGGCGTGTACCACCACAACTGGCTCCTGTCTTTTAAACCAACCTGCTTCAGATCCCAGGAGGGTGACACTGTGAGCCAGGGGGATGGGGAGCACCCTGTGTCTGGGCTCTTTCCAGAGGACTCCTCTGTGGTTGTGTCAGAAGATTCAAGGGCTGTATTAGTGACCTGGAACTGATTCGGGCAAGTTTGTGCTCCCTAGAGCCTTGGGCCCAACTGCAGTTCATCTTCCAGAAAGCCCTCCAGCTTGGCTCCATCCTTGACCCCTAGGTTCTCTACCCACAGATTTAGGCAAAGCCCAAAGAATTTAGGAGGAAGAGATTTGGAAGTTTATTGCCTGACTGGGTGAGGTCATTGGGCTATATGGTCACTGGGCTTTGCCTTTCTTCTGGGACAACGGCTTCCTCCAGAGGACCAATAGGACAAGCAAATTCACTGCAAGCTGCACCTGGCCAAAGATGGAGACACCATAGCTGCTGTACAACAGGCCGCCCAGGGTGGGTCCTATAGTGCGAGTCAGTGGGTGCACAGAGGCAGCGAGGCCCAGCATGGTCCCTGGAAGAAAGGGAAAAGAGAAGTCAGACCTTGGGCAGGTCTCTGGACAGGCTGCCTGCCTTCTGGTGGTAGCCCAGTCTTTTGCCCATTGTTCATGGATGGCTTGAGACATTTTTCAGAGTACCATCCTCCTCACAGCTGTCCCTCACCTCCCGAAACCCCCAATTAAACACAGTATCCTCCATCCACAGGGTCAGTTTTCTGGTTCCCCTGTGTAGATAGGACTGAGCCTCTTTCCTGCTCTAGAAATTCCCCAGGCAAGGGAGGAGTCTGGGAAAGGGGTCAGAGATCAGGAATAGGCCACACCCTCCAAGACCTGTCAGTGTAGATGTGATCTGCATACGCTGGGCTCCACCCAGGACATCCGGGGTGTTGGCTTTCACACTCTCTCCAAATGGTGACTGAGATGGCCAGTGTGGATTTGGCTAGGAAGGGTCTGGTCCCCTGAGCCATTGTAGGGTTCTAGGGCTGGCTTTCTGGTTGGGTATGGTGTCCCTAGTGCCTCTCATATGGCTCTTCCTCTTCTTGTTTGTTCCTCCACCACCCTCCCATAGATTCAATGGATCTCAGGGGTCAGGGCCAGGGCTACAGGGGCTACCAGTGTCCTGAGTGTGTGAGCCCACAGCTCCATGTTTCTGGCCAGCCATCTTAGTATGGACATGCGTGTGCAGGATCTTGTTCAAGTGACTGCATGTGGAGGACAGCACTCAGTAACACAGTACCCATCCCACCTGCCATCCCCAGGTGGGAGTCACACTCTGCCCCTTTCTGCTCCAGAAGCTGACCACTGACTGAACTTTGCTACTCACTGGCCAGAGCCTTCTGAGACCAGGCTTTTAACTGGGCCAAGACAAGGGCCTGCGAGGCCCCACCCACACTCAGGGCCTCACTGTAGGGAAACTCAGGTGCAGCCTCTCTCACTGCCCACACGTAGCTGGCAGACACTAACTGACATAGGGCAATTACCGCCCCCTCTGTGGGCTCCTGTTCCCAGGCAAACCAGGCTCTGCTCTTTCCAAGCTAAGGGGTGGTGCCACAGGCATGACGTGGCCTTGGTGGCTTGGCTGGCTTCTCCTGGCCAGCCCCACCCCCTCACTTGCCTAGCCTTAACATCCCAGTTCCTCCTTCCAGAGAGAATTCCTAGCCCAGCCCTTTGGAGCTGCTGTCCTGGCAGCATGGAGTGGCCACCTTAGACAGGCTTGGAGGCCAAGTCTGGAAGATTTCCCCCTAGCGATGTGGATTCGAACCCTCCATTCAGGAAGCTTTGAGCACCGTCTTGTCAAGGACTGGGAAGTCTCCCATGCTGTTCTCCTTCCCTGGCCCCTTCACCACTCCAGCCACCAGCTACCTGTCTTCTAAAGCGGCTCTGTAAGCCCTGCAAGGCCCACTTCGTTGTTCCTCTGGCCTCTGCCTCAACAAAGTATCTGGCCTGTCCTCTTTTTAGTGAAATGCTGGCATGGATCAGAGCCCAGCTAGATGCCTCTTCCAGGAAGCCCTTCATCTGTGCCCTGGCCTGCTCAGAGCTCATCAGCAGGGCTAGAAGAGGCAATATTTTTTACCTGGGCTTTTCTTTCTTGTCACCTCCACCTCGTCTGGCCAAGGCCACTGGGAGGAACCCTGGCTGTTGGGGCCCCTATGTACAGCTCACCTGTGTCTGAAGCAGACACAGCCTTGGTCAGCATGCTGTCGGTGACCACGTTGAGGGTACAGAGACTGAATACCAGGCCAGGCATCAGAAAGCAGAAGTGGAGAACATTGGACATCAGCGCCTGGCAGAGCAATGGGCAGGGTTGTGCTGAGCAGAGAGGTTACAAAGCCACATAGCCACCCACCCTGGGCTCCCACCCACAATGCAAGGAGCTCAGGTGGAGAGTAGAGATAGTGCAATGTGGCCTGGGGCAGTCCAGGGACTTGAGCATACACAAATCATGGGTGGAGGATATAGCCTGAGACCTGCTTCACAGGGCAGGTGTGTGTGTGTGTGTGTGTGTGTGTGTGTGCTCTCACCATGCCCAGTCCCACAACAGCAAAGATCAGCACACTGGATCGCAGCAGGACTTCCTCTGGGAAACGGGTGCTCAGTCTCCCAATGACCACGCCTTGGATCACCTAGGAAGGGTGACAAGGAGGAGGGGAAGACAGTCTAGACCAGTGGTTTTCAACATGTGGGTTGTGACCCCTTTGGGTCAAATGACCCTTTCACAGGGGTTGCCTAAGACCATCAGAAAACACAGATGTTTATGTTACAATTCATAACAGTAACAAAATTACAGTTATGATGTAGCAATGAAAACAATTTTATGGTTGGGGGATTACCAAAACATGAGGAACTGTAATTATTATTATGTTATTATTAATTTTGGTTTTTTTAAGTTATGGTTTCTCTGTGTAGCCCTGATTGTCCTGTCCTGGAACTTGCTCTGTAGACCAGGCTGGCCTTGAACTCAGTGATCCACCTGCCTCTGCCTCCCAATTGGTGGGATTAAAGGAATGCTCCACCAGTTTTTGTTTTGCTTTGTTTTTTGTTAAGGAACTGTATTAAAAGGTTGAAGCATTAGGAAGGTTGAGCCACTGGTCTAGTCCACGGCTGCCCTTTTGAAAGGGCTCTGTCAGGAGAATGGTGGCGCACACCTTTAAAGTCAGGAAGATCTCTGTGAGTTTGAGGTCAGCCTGGTCTACAAAATGAGTTCCAGGACAGCCTATTATACAGAGAAACTCTGCCTCAGCACCCCCAGCACCCCCTCTGCCCCCCAAAAAAGAAGGTATTCTAAAAAGACCTTGTAAGCCTCTCTCTGGCCATCAGACTGATGGACCCCCAAGAAGGCATTGGAATTTTCCCAGGAGTCCCACCCTGGGGAAGGAAAAGGCTGAAGCCTGGTGCCAGCCAGAGGGGGAACTTGTCTCCCAGAGAGATCTCACAGAGTTCTGAGAATTTGTCAGACCACCTTGCAGGAGAGACTGGAGCTGACAGTGGTGGTCGGTGATGGGCAGGACCACACCTTGGCCAGGACTGCTTAGCTATGCACAGAGCTGCCCTCTGTTTAAGCCTGAACCTCATGTCCGGACCCTGAGGACAGACTCAGGACTCTCTGGACCTCTTTGTCCCTCTTCCCAGTGTGGCCGCACTGAATGACTGACTCGCCTCTCATTGCTTTTCACTATTACCTGTCCTGAAAATAAGGGCCCCTGGACTGGTGGCTGGTGGCTCCTCTCCATCTGTACTTCTTGAAAGACCTCCCCCTACCCTCACCCCCCCCCCCCCCCCCGCCCAGCAGAGACTGCAACCAGAGTAGACATCTGAGTCACGTGGTTCCTAGAAAGTCACAAGGTCAAAGGTCAATGAATGGCTCCTCTCAACAAAAAGGGAAAGAGAATCCATGCCAGGGATACTCAGGGACACCAGAGACATGACTCAGCAGGCTAGGCAGCCTAGGGTGAGGCTCCCTATCTCGTCTCTCAGATAGGAAGTGCCCGTCTCTACCAGGAAGGAAGTGTGTGAGACCAAAGGCCAGGACTGAGTAGAGTTAAAGCCAGAAGCTGTCGGGCTACTGGGGCCAGCAGTTGTCAGGGTTCATGAGGGTTGGACCTAGGCTTGCAGAGCCCAAACCGGTTCAGCCACAACCCCCACTATGCCTGGCAGAACCTTGTTGCTTCCTCTAGAATAACCCATGTCTTAGGAAAGCAAATCATCTCTAGACTGGTTTTATGGAAGCATTTAATCCTGGCCTCAGCCACTTGGCCCTCCATCCTGACTAACCACCCCAGACTCGACTTCCCCATTAAGTTGAAAATAAGCTTCTAGACGCCATGCAGGCCTCACCGTTATCTGAAAAATAAAAACCAGTGAGGTTAGTCAACCTGCCAAGAAGGTCACTTTCCCTCAGTCTTCCCAATTGTACCCTCTGCCTTCCCACATGCCCACCCACTAAGACCTGTGTTCTCCTTCTCTCCCTTTACAATGTCTCTCCCTCTTATTCAAGATCGTATTTGGTACTCCAGTATCTCTATACTACCCCCACCACAGTGCCCACTGAATGACTAGCAACCTAGAGTAGCTCTGGGTGATGGTCAGGTATCAGGGCTACCATAGGAGTCTCTCTTGAGGGGATTTTAAGAGACATGGTCTGCTGACTCATGCTTTTATTTATTTTTGGCTTTTTGAGACAGGGCTTCTCTGTGTCACAGCTCTGGCTGTCCTGGAACTAGATTTTTAGAATAGGCTGGCCTCAAACTCCCAGAGATTTGCCTGTCTCTGCTTCCAAGTGCTGAGATTACAGGCATGTGCCACCACTGCCCAGATGTGTCTCACACTTTTAATCCCAGCACTTGGAAGGCAGAGGCAGATGGAGCTCTGAGTTCCAGGACAGCCAGGGCTACACAGAGAAATCCTGTCTCAAAAACAAACAAACAAACAAACAAAGAGAGAGAGAAAGAGGGAGAGACATGGTCTGCAATCCTGATGGAGCCATGGCCTGATCCCTGTGTGCCACTCCCCAGTGTCCCAGCATCCCCCCATCCCCCTGGGAACATGCAGGAGCATACAGAGTGGGCAAGACATGGCTTGCACGGGAACTTTCTGCATCTCAGGGACATTTGGTGATCATTCCCCTGTGATGTAGTTGGGACATACCTGGCCCTCAGCTTTATCCTCTGACCAAGGACACAAGTCTACCCACTCCTGGTTAGTCTTAGGGACCAGAGCTCTAACACACCTGGTCTCTTGCCTCCCCTTCTCACTCTCTTCTGAACCAGGTCCTATGTCAGATTCCTCTTTCTAAGCCTCTACAATAATTCCAGATTATTACTTTAACTTGCCTGCCACACACAGCTCCAGGTGACCATAACTGTAGACCCCAGGAGTATCTATCTCCAAGGGTCTGGACTTCAACTGAGTATAGGCTGGTATAGCCTGGCTACAAGCAAATGGCAAGCAGGTTGCTCACTCACTCACTCACTCATTCATTCATTTTTGAGAAAGTATCAGTCTAGACTAAAAATCACTATGTAGTCAAGGATGGCCTTGAACTTCTGGTCCTCCTACCTCTACCCTTGGATGCTGGGATTACAGGGTCACGGGGCATGCACCACAATGCCTGATTTGTGCGTTCTGGGCAAGCATTCTACCAACTGGGCTACATTTCCAGGAAGCTATCCATTTAGAATGAAGCTCTGCTTAGCCATGGGTCAGTATTGTTGGCTTTGTTTATTTCTTTTCTCTCCCCTCACCAAAAAAAAAAAACAAAACAAAACAAAAAAAAAAAAAACCAAAAAACAAAACAAAAAAAAAAAAAAAAAAACAAAAAAAAAAAAAAAAAAAAAAAAAAAAACCAGGGTTTTTCTGTGTAGCTTTTGGAGCTTGTCCTAGAACTCACTCTGTAGACCAGGCTGGCTTGGAACTCAGGCAACTACCTCTGCCTCCTGAGTGCTAGGATTATAGGCCTGTGTCACTACTGCCCAACTCTTCATTTCTTTTATCCCCAACTGGGTGCCCCTCCTTACTGGTGCAGATTAGAGGCTTTCCTTGTCCTTGGTAGGGAGACTGACTGACTAGGGAGTAGGCCAGCTCTGAACCTGGAAGCTTAGGGAGCAGATGGCTCAGAGGTTCCAGGAACACCACCAAGTGTGCAGAATGATCTGGACCCCTTCTCTGCTAGTCTCAGAAGAGCCACTCCTGTGTACTAGCTGACAGGCAGTCATACTGGGCCACAGTAGTGCATCACCACCTGTCTCTGCCACCAAGGGTCTGGTCAAAGGCCAGTGGGAACCAGGGAGGGGGTAGCTGATTTTGACCATGCTGGCCTTGGGCTTAGAGCCATGGGGCCCTGAGGGGCTATCTGAGAGGCTACTACATCCCCTACCTCAAACTGGTCCAAGGGCACCCCTGACCCCCAAGGGAACCTCTGACTCCCTGTAAGGACAGCATACTTGATGACTATGCCTTGCTCTTAAGGAGATCCCAGAGTGCCCAGGGTCTTTCTCATGACACCCCTAGCCAATCCATGGGACATGCATCATGGTTAATGTCACTTGACTAAGAAAGGAAATGAAGTCTGAAAACTTACTATTACACAGCTAGGGAGGACAGACAGAGCCCTACACAACATGCCCATCTCTTGTGTCTCCAGTCCCTCCCAGGCCTGTCTGCTGCCCAGCATTGACCCTGTTCGCTGCTGCATCATAGGATGGGAAGTCAAATGCTGAGTGTGTTTCCATGTTTCCTCTCTCTCTCTCTCTCTCTCTCTCTCTCTCTCTCTCTCTGTGTGTGTGTGTGTGTGTGTGTGTGTGCATGCGTGAGCACGCACGTGCCTCCCAGGACATTCCCTCACTCAAGACAGGCCCCCCAGATGGGAGAGGAGGGAGCCAGGATGACCACTCAGTCAATCTGGGGGCAGGTCTCCCAGAGACTAATGCTGGGAAACTCAGTCCTCCCCGCCCACAGCAGTTTCTGCTCATGTCCCACTCACCATCTGGAGGACCCCGAAGAAGGACATGAGGTAGCCAGCCTGTGCAGCCTCTAGCTGGAAGAAGTCCATGGAGATGATGGAGAACATGACCAAGAAGAGCCCTGGGCAGATGAGCAGACAGCTATGGTGTCAGGCCCACTGTAGCACACACCTCCCTCCTGTGTCCAAGCAGGGGCCTTGCTTGCCCAGGGAGGGACATTTAGCACCATCTGGGATTCTGTAGAAGTTGACCCCCTGGGGCGCTGCTGTTAAGTAGTCCCTGTGAGCTACAAGGTGCCAGGATGGAAGCCCAGGGAATCATGGGAACCCTCAGAGGTCCCTGTCACTTAGGTGTGTATGGGGGGTCCAGGTTCCAGCCATTGTAGCTGAAACATCCAGCCTGGAAGGGTGGGCCTGGTGGTCCCAGCTGGCAGGTGGGGCGGCTTCTTTGTGGCCCCTACCATCTCTGCCAGAGGCCTCAGTCTGGGGTTGCACACTGCAAGCTTCTGGGTCAGGAAAGAGCTGAACCCTTGGGGTCCTAGTACCTCTGAGCCCACTGCAGGGTCAGTGGTAGGGCCCTTGCCTGGCTTTTGTGAGGCTCTGGGTTCTCTTCCCAGTACCACAAACAAAACACCCAGACTGCAGTGGTCTGTGAGTGACAGGGTCACTCTGGGACATTCAAAGCTGGGCAGACTGGGCAAGGGGTCATCTGTGCCTTCACCAGATGGCCAGAGCAAGAGGCTCCAGAACCTGCCTGCCTGTCAGGCCTATATGGTACTTCTGAAAGCCAGGTCTGGGTGGCAAGACATAAAGGTTAGCAAGAATCTGTGGGCTGGACCTCCCGGAGTACAATTGAAGTGAGGGAGGAGCGACAATATGAACAAAGGAGCCAAGACCATGATGGGGAAACCTGCCGAACCAGATGACTAGAGCTAGTGAGAGATCTTTGGCTCTCCACACTGTCTACTGGGGAACTGGCATAGGACTGAACTAGGACCCCTGAATACAGGTGACAATGGTGTGGCTTGGGTGGAATATAAGGGCACTGGCAGTGGGTTCAAGATCTAAGTGTACTGCATAAACTGACTTTGAGGAGCCCATTTTCTATGGAGAGATAGATACCTTGCTCAGCCTAGACATGGGTGGGGGTAATAGACATGGGGGGGGTCTTGATCCTGCCTCAAGGAGGTGATAGGATAGCCTTAGTTGACATCCTAGGGGAGGCCCTACCCTCTCTGAAGAGCAGATGGGAGGTGGGATGGGGAGAAGGAGGGAACAGCAGGAGGAGAGAAGAGAGGGGGAAGCTAGGATCGGAACATAAAAATAAATAAATAAATAAACAAACAAACAAATAAATAAATAAATAAGAATCTGTGGGCTGCCTGCCAGGCCCTATGGTGGTGACCCCCAAGAGGAAGCAGAGCACGGCAGGGAGGACACTGACCCCTTCTCCTCCCTCTGGGCTAGCACACAATCTGAATCTGTACCCACAGTATGTGCTGGGAACCCCACAGGTATAAGGACTCACGGGCAGAGCAAAGCATCACCTAGACCTGGGTCCCCAGGGCTTGGGTTCTCAGCTACCCCAGATTCTGAACACCAGTGGATGTGGGACAGTGAGACTCACCTAAAGGTAAGCCAGAGATGACCTTGACCAGGAATACCGGCAGCACACTAGGCAGCAGCAGCAGGCGGGTGATGGCCTTCAGGTCAAACACACTGGCCTTGGTTCCACCTGGCCACCAGGGACATCAGTCAAAATCACTGGTTGTGGGGTTTTGGCTGCCAGCTTTGACCCCCAGGCGAAGAGCTGACTATTTTCTCAGCAGCCCCCTCCCACAGCCTCTGGGGAGATTTGGGCCACTCATCACACTTTGGCTAACCTAAGGACCCCTGCGTCCCAGGCAGGGCAGGGGAAGGTAGGTGTTCAAGAGAAGATGCACCTGGCATCAAGTAGTTCTGCTAGAACATTCCTAGATCCTCAACCTTCTTGACAAGTCAGTTGTTCCCAGCCCAGTCAGAGAGGCATGCATTGACACCCAGGACACTCTTAGTCACCTATGCCTAGATTTCTCCCGGGACCCTGTTCTTACTTCTTGTATCACAGCTTGCAGTTCCAAGAAGTCTCCCAGGTTAGTGTCCATCTCAGTCACTGGGCAGAGGCACAGGGGCACCCTTCTGAAGAGCCAGCCTGGCCCATATTTGCCACCAGCTCAGTGGGATCACCCACTGAGTCAGTAACCTCATATGCTCTGGACATTCAGCATCTCAGAGACTAGCAGCTACCTCCAAACCCCTGAGTGTCCCCTGAGTATTTCCTGGCTTTTCTAGACTTGCTTTGTAGGGCCTCCCTGCTCAGGGCCTTGGCTTGCCTGACTCCCAGAACTGTGCCCGGATTGACCTACAAGGAATCAGCAGCAAGAGGTAGACTTAGTTTCCTCTATGTGACCCCTGAACCCCTTGGCTGGAAGGTCTTCCCATTCTCAGCAGAGGCATAGGGTGCTGGCTTCTGGGACAGAGTGATACCCACTGGCCTAGTTGTAGGCAGGTAGAGCTTACCCTGATGGGCTGACTGGACACCGGCCTCCTTGGTGGTAGCAGGGACACAGGTAAAGCTGAGGACAGCTCCTAGGAGTGTGACCACAAGAGCCACGATGGCAGGACACTGGATCCTGGGGGCACAGCCTAGGGTCAGATGGTTCCTGTTGCAGGGATACACTCTAGAGCCACCCCCACCTGGCCTTATCCTTTTGGCCCCATTAAAACCTCACTTGCTGCCAGGCAGTGGTGGCACACACTTTTAATCCCAGCACTTGAGAGGCAGGTGGATCTCTGTGAGTTTGAGGCCAGCCTGGTTTACAGAGTGAGTTCCAGGACAGGCTCCAAAGCTACAAAGAGAAACCCTATCTGGAACACCACCCCCCACCCGCCAAAAAAAAAAAAAAAAAAAAAAAAAAACCAACCCTCACCTGCTCAGGTGCTCAGTCCCAGATACTCATCCCTTAAAGTAACTTTATCAGATGGCAGCTGCTCCAACAAGCAGGCCCTGAAGCACCTGGGAGGTGAGGGGTGGGATGGGGGTAGGGCAGTATGTGAGTCTAGAGGGTTGTAGTGCTGGGGTAGGATGGCCTTGCTCGTGGTACAATTGGTTCCCAGGTTCCCCAGGGTCAGTCAGGTTTGTGGGTGTCCCTGAGGATAGCTTTAAAGACCTGAGACCAGGTACAAGGTCCCCTTGCCAGTGAGGACAGGCTGGTACTAAGTGGTCTCTAAGAAATCACCTTACTTCCTCCAAAAGACCCTTCACCACTCCCTAGGGGGCAAGACCTGCCAGGGCTGGGGAGTTTGGGTTCTGTGTCTCAGGTCCCCCATGCATGATTATGTAGGAAACCCTCCTGCCTGCCAGAGACTTGCTGAGTCATGGAACAGCCTAACACTTCCAGTATAGTATAGTCTTTCCCTCTGGGAAATACAGACACCTGGGGACTGGTCTTTCAGATCCTATAGTCTCCTCTGGTGCCCAGTCCAACACTTGCTCTGAGTAGGGAATTTCTCAGAGCTAGCTGAGAACCCCAGGCTGGAATAACCTTCCCTCTACAGATTTGAGAACTCCTACATACTCAGCATGGGTTCATCCCCCTAGCTGGTACCTGGTCTCAGCAGGGGACTCTCTACCATGTGCTTAGAATCTGGACCCCATGGGCAGATAGACCTAGCCTGGATCTTGCATTGAAGCTTCCGCAGGGAAATGTGATCGGATGTTCACATGGACTGTCAAGGTGCTGCCTCCAGCAGCATCCTATACCTGCCCTGTTCTGGTTCCTGGACAGACATGAGTGAGAGTCAGGGTCTTGGGAGAACCCCCAAGCTGACAAACAAGACCAGTTCAAGCAGCCTGTACTGCTCCACATCACAGCCACAGGGGTGTGTACATGTGTACAGGCACACACAGACATACTCACGGATACAGAATATTTCTCTCATACAGAGGGACAACATATACAAACACATAAGCATATACAGGTACCTTGCTAGAACTCTGATGTACACCTGCAGGCAGGAGGTACCAAGGAAACAAGTAGGACCACTAATAGAGATCAGACCTCAACAGCTTTACTCAGTGTGGGGCCGGGCACACCTCTCTTGCTATTGCCCTATCCTCCAGGGCAATTGGGCATCTAGTTCTGACTGCTATAGTTCCCTCAATGGACACCATTCCTAGCCAATATCAGAGAACATAATACTGGACTCCAGAATGAGGCCTCTTCAGGCCTCAAGGGACTGGCAGGAAATGGTGTGTGATATAAGGAAGACTACTACCCTTTCCAGTGGCTGGCTTCCGAGGCTTTTCTTTTGGCTTCTGGTCTTAACATTACCTCGTGAGTCCTGGCCAGGTGGGAACAAAGTCTTCTTTTCTCATTAGATGTTCCAGAAGTACTCAGGAGCTGAGGTGGCCTCACATAATGCTATTTTCACAAACTGGTGATAAGTGAGGGTAGGTGGTAAGGTGCTAGGATCCTGTCTGTCTTCTGAGTGGTGATCAGCAAGTCAAAGGCCAGTACTGCCCTGGGAATGCAGGTCCTGGGGCTGGGATACTCTGTAGGCCCAGGAGAACCTGAGGCCACAGTCTCCCAGACTCTGAATAGGCTGTTGCCTGTGAAAGCCAGGGTGTCACTCACTTCCAACTCAGAACTCCACAAAAACAAAACACTGAAAGGAAAGTGGGCAAGAGGGAAAGCCAGTGTTGGGGATAGGGATGTGTAGCTCAGTGCTAATATTCTTCCTAGTGTGTGGAAGGCCCTGGGTTCAATCCCCAGTACTGGGGGATGGGGAGTGAAATTCTGGGCCAGTGAGACAGTTCAGAGAATAAAGGTGCCAGCTGACCTGAGTTAAAGCCCCAGAACCCTGCATATTGTCCTCTGATCTCTACACCACCGTGCGTGCTGTGCGTGCTCCCTCCTACCAACACACACACACACACACACACACACACACACACACACACACACACACACACACTACAAAATATTAGGGGACTGGAGAGGTGGCTCAGCACCTCTCCAATCCCCTTACTGCTCTTTCCGAGGACCCGGGTTTAATTCCGAGCACCCATAGCTGGTAGCTCACAACTTCCTGAAACTCCAGCTCCAAGAGACATGGCACCTTTCTCAGACTTCTCTGGCCTCACACTCACACATGGCACCCCTACACAAATAAAAATAAATAACTGCCAGGTGGTGGTGGAGCACACCTTCGGTCCCAGCACTGGGGAGGCAGAGGCAGCGGCAGAGGCAGATGGATCTCTGAGTTCCAGGCCAGCCTGGTCTACTGAGTGAGTTCTAGGACAGCCAAGGATAAACCTGTCTTGAAAAAGCAAACAAACAGACAAACAAACAAACAAACAAAACTTTAAAAAATAATATTTATGTTTTTCTTTTTAGTAAGGGTCTCACTCTGTAGCCATGGCTGGTGTGATACTTGCTATGCAGAGCCAGTTGGCCTCAGGCTCACAGGGATACACCTGCTTCTGCCTTTCACCTGCTTTAAGATTTTGGGACAAGCACTGCCTTGCCTGGCTAAAATTAAGTCTTTAAAAAAATTATCTTAAAAAAAAAGTAAAAGTGCAGGACAGCCAACCCCTAGGGCTTTCAAACTTATGGGATATTGTGACATTCCCTCCAGGCCTTCTGGTTATCAGACCCCAGCATGTAATCCAAGAAGCTCCCCTCAGGGTCCCGCCTCTGTGACTTGCACAGGTGCAAGGGCAACCTGGAGAGGCTCTCAGAGTGTCACACAACTTGTATCAAATTTTGTACTTTTTCTTTTCTTTCTTTTAGAAAATGATTAATTTATTTTTATTTCACATGCATTGTTATTTTGCCTGCCCGCATGCCTGTGGAGGGTAACTCCAGTTCCAGAGGATCCTCTGGAACTGGAGTTATAGACAGTTGTGAGCTGAGCTGCCATGTGGGTGCTAAGAAGTGAATCTAGGTTCTCTTCTTTCTTTCTTTCTTTCTTTCTTTCTTTCTTTCTTTCTTTCCTTCCTTCCTTCCTTCCTTCCTTCCTTCCTTCCTTCCTTCCTTCCTTCCTTCCTTTTCCCTTCCTTCCTTGCTTTTCTTTTGAGACACAGTCTCACTATGTAGCTCTAGCTGTCCTAGAACTCACAGACATCTGCCTGTTTCTGCTTCCTGAATGTTGGGATTAAAGGCATTTGCCAGCCTGGTCTGGCATGGTGGTGTAGAGGCAGAGGCAGGTGGATCTCTGTGAGTTCAAGGACAGCCTGGTCTGCAAAATCAATCTAAAGACAGCTAATGCTATGAAGTGAGCCCTGTCTCAAAAACAACAAACTCCACCCTCCCCCCCCCCCCAAAAAAAAAGAAAAAAAAAAAGCAGGTGACGACAACAAAGTCATGCACCACCACCCCTGGTATATTTTATTTATATTTTTTCTTTTCTTTTTTTTTTAGGTTGAGCCAAGACTTCAAGGATTTCAGCTCAGCCTCTCACTGCCTCTCCCCACCTTTTTTTCATCCATTGGATAAGTGGAAACTGGATAGGATAGGTGGGCATATGGACCTTTCAGAGATGAGTCCTCCATAGACATTGTTCCTGTCTTCCCTAGCTACCTGACTATATTTCCTCAGTTATAAATGAGGGCTGGGTCACAGCCTTGTCTGTCTCCTCACCACTATGCCTCTGCTGTCCTGGAGCCTGGCTACCCACATCCTATCTGCCAGCTTCCAGGAGGCTTCTGACACTGCAGCTATAGTTCAGCAAACAATGGCCACTACTCAATTCCAGGGCCTGTCTGTAACGCCAAGGGTGGTGATGGCCCTCTGCCTGGCCTAGACTCTGCCCAACCCTATCTGGGCTCCTGCTGTGTTCCAGAATGACAATTCCTTCCTCGCCACTTTGGACCCCTGCCCAGTATCTTCAAAGCTCTGAGAGGGGCTGTAGAGCCAAGGTCCTTGATGCTAAGAGCTAACATGCACATGTGGCTTAAAGCCCCCAGTCTCACATTCTCTTGGAAGACTGTGTGCATATGATACCTTTCACAAGAGGCAAGGACAGGGACTCCAGAGCACCATTTGAACACCCAGCCTGGGGCTCAGTCAGAAACCAGCTGCACTACCTGCCCTGTAATATGCCCAATATGCAAGCCCCATGGCTAAGACGAATCTGAAAACAAAAATCCTGCAGGTGGGGTGCTCCTATAACTCCCAAACAAATACTGAATCCCTTCAACCTAGTGCTTCCTAGCCTGGAGCTCCCTCCAAGCTCTCTTCCCGCCTCTCCATTGTGACACAGGTCTCGAACCAAATGACCAGTTTCTTCTTGCCTGGAGCCTTTGAGGTCTTGAGGGGTGAAGAACACCCCTCACCCTCCCTGGCTTTGAGAAGCCCACGCTCTAAGGCCTTGGGGACCAGATAAGATTTGCAACCAATGTGTGCTATGTCCTAGGTATGACTCTGAGCAGGGGTCACAGGGGCCACTTGGTATCCAGGAGGGTTTGCAGGTGGCCACTGTTATCTCGGGGGAACCTGACCCCCAGGGTTTGTGGCTGGATACTTCCTAGTTCAGCTCTGAAAGGCCTCCCAGACTTGGTGGCGTCTGTTCAAATTCCTGCTCTTCGTGGATGATTGAGAATTCCAGACCCCTAGGCTACAGGTCCAGC